GGGAGTGGGTGCCGGGCCATCAGGCAGAAGGCAGCCCCAGCCACTGCTGTGCCCAGGAAACTTTCCAGCACTCCCTGGGGACCAACAGGGGCTCAGGACAGGAACCTGAAGGCCTCAGCACAGGATTTCAAACTTCCAGGGAGCCTCCTCAGCCCACCCAAAGTTCCATAGAACCCTACCCACCTGGGAACCTCCAGTGGCATCTCCCAGCAAACCCCCAAATGTGATGGCATTCGTGATGGTGGCTAGGTAAATGTAGAGCATGGCCGAAAAGCACTGGGGGTGCAGGGCATCCAAGAAATCGCTGGGGTACCATGAAGCCTTCCTGCGAACGTCCTGAACAAGGCCCCCAAACAGCCTCCCGCCCAAGGGTTGTCAGTGATCCAGGTTTCTACACCCCACGCCCACATCCTTCTACTTTCTCTGTGGTCAGGTGATACCTCCCACAGTAAGTAAGCACACTCCTTGGTGCCCCCGTGACTCTCCTCTCCATCCTCCACTCCACCCCCTCCACCCTCCAGGATTCCCAGCTGCGCCCACCCAGCTCATCTCACCTGCCAGTTCGCTGCAACTCCACGCTGGGCGCCTGGGGCCCATCACGGTGCCTGTCCTCAGCTGGGGCCCTGTGTGGGGGCAACAGGCCCTTGACCTGCACTTGCAAGGTGAACCTGAGGAGAGGGAAGCCCAGGTTGGCTGAGGATCTTTAACCAGTTGATGTCTCTGCCAGAATGCATGTCATCCTGCCCCCTGGTGGCTGCTCGTGTCCCTGCCAGCCAGAGGCCTGTCTGACCACCAACACTCGTGGAAGAGGGGACAGGTCACACTGACCCATGAAAGCCAGGCTGCACAGAGGAAGGAGGGGAGGGGATGAAATTTGCTCAGGTCTTATAGTGAGAAGGCGTTGAGCAGAACTCACGTCTATGCCTCCAAATCCAGAGGAAAGTCCTAATTTTTCCTGGCATCCTACCCCTCCTTAACAGTGGCACTAGATCCAGAGCCCATGGGGAAAACCCTATGGAATGATGGGCCGGGTACCTTTTATGCTGAGAGGGTAGACATTTGGGCGGGGAAATCCGGGCTGTTGGATCCCACCGACCTGGAGGAAGCACTGTCACCTCCTCTAGGAAGGCATCCAAGGCTGCCAGAAGGTCATGAAGACTGTTGGCTCGACGAACTGACCACTGGAATTGCTGAGGATAGGGGCACAGAACAGGTGGTAAATGCAGATTTGATCTGGACTCAAAGTCCAGTTTCACAGTCTCAAAACTAGACACAAGTCACCTAGGCAAATTATACTTTCATTTGTGTGTGCATGCGTGCACACATTCACTCATTCAGAGTATCCATTGAGCACCTACTGTACACCAGCACTGGGCCGTAATGGAGTTATAATGCAGTTAAGGAAACCAGCCTGCAGGCTCATGGACACAAAGCCACATTGCTGTACTTAGTCACACAGGGTCCAAACTCACACAGCTGCCCAACTCACCGGGTCGCTGAGGAGAACAGCTGCTGCCCGGCCCATCTCATGGTAGCCCCTTCCCAGCATGGGGGGACCCAGGAGGAGGCAGAAAAACCTGAGGAAGGAACCAGCTGCAGGGAGGCTCAGAGGCTGCTTTCCTATAGGACAGTTCTGGTCTCTGAAGCTCAGCTGCGACCTCCCCACCAGCTTCATGCACACTTTCTCTATAGTAGTGACCTCTCCAGACCCTGAGCACCACCCCCCACACACTCTTAGAAATTTAGGCCCAAAGACTCTCCCCAGTCTTCTCCCTAGTAAAGACCCTTCTGGGCTCCAGGATCCCTGATTTCCTATCAGTAGACTCACCTGCTGGGGAGAGGCACCTCAGTGAGCGGCCCCAGCACCACTGGATCCCGCAGTCGCACAAAGGCCCCCAGGGGCTGTGCCAAGAAGCCCAGCTCCCCTGCCAGCACAGCCCCTGCCTCAGCTCCTGGAGGCAGCTTCTGTCTCAGGGGGTTCTGACGCGGGTCGGGATCAAGGAGATACAGTGGAGAGGTTACTTGGGGAGGTCAGGACCTCAATCAATGAAGAGTCTGGAAAGTGGGCCTCTGTTGATTTTTAACCCCTCTCCAACCCTGCCTGAGGAAGGGCCACAAACCTGTTCCTTCAGAGGAGCTTCCTCATCATAAGAAGCCTTTCTAGGATGAGTAGGTCCTATAAAATAAGATCATGCAGTGATTAAGAGCACAGGCTTCAGGCCTGGCACAGAGGTTAAGGCACTGGATCTTATAAGGCTGACTGCATGGTTCAAGCCCTGGACCCAGCAGCTTGAAAAACATGCTAGGCACATGTGCATTCTCTGAGAGAATAGAGAAGGGATGGAAGTATGGCTATCCCCCCAGGGCATGATTTCTCACTTTCTCTCTCTCTCTCTCCAGTGAGCAAACTAAAAACATAAAATAAAAAAGCACAGGCTTTAGAGGTGGATCCACAGGGCTCCCTAACCAGTGTTGTCATGGACAGTTTGTGAAAATGGAGTACATCCTACCACTCTCTGAGCCTCTATTTCTCATCACTAAAATAGGGGTGATTATGGTACTACTTATAGGCTGACTGTGAAGGCTAAAGGAGATACTATGTGCAAAGCTTCCAGCAGTGCCTACCAAGTACATCCCTTCACAGAGCTCTGACCATTTTGATTCCAGCACGCCCATCCTCCGCCACCATTACCAACACCTCCCTCTTAGCTATGAGTCTCGGGTTGAAGTCTGAGTTGAACATGGGCCACTTCCGACCTGGGAAGGTGTAGAGGAGAACTGAGACCCTCCCACCCCAGGGTCATGGTCCTGGGCCCAGGGTGGGGTCTCTCACCCCAGCAGGGACTGGTGCCTGTGGTCGAGAAGTGGTGCTGGGGTCTCTGTAGCAGCAAGGTCTGCAACTGCCCTCTCAGCTCCGGACTCAGTGACTCCACCCTGGTCACCTGCTCTGGAGGACAAATGTGAAGCTTGAACCCCTTCTTGAGAGCACCCCCACCCCACACTCTTCCTCCTTCCCCTCCTTTTAGACTGCTTTCCCTTCTAAGTCTCAGGGAATACAGAGGTCAATGAACTTGCTCCTCCACTCTGCTTTTCCATCTCCATCCTGTGACAGGAATGGACAATCCCTGGGGTGGGGTGCGGTGGGCTCTGGAACATTCCACAACTTTTGGGGGAAAATAGCATGGCTACCTATACCCTCCCTACAAAGGCTCCCAGCCTACCCACGAGCTCCAGGAGGCTCTGAGCTGGACAGTCCAGCAGTATCAGGCCCTCGGCCAGCAGGCTGCGAAGCTTCTGGAGGCTAGGTAGTGCCAGGGTGGGCACATGGGGGGCACTCCATCGGCCTGCGCCCACCTCCAGCTTCTCCTCAAACAGCACCCACCTGCAGTGGAAAGGGAGGTGACAGTGTTATTGGGGGCATCTCTCTTACATCCAGGAGTAGGGACACAGAGAGCCAGGGAAAGTAGGCCAGTGGGGGCATTCTGAGCCCGGCAGTGCAGTTTTCCCCTCCCCAGGCAGTAACCCCTCACTCGAGTCTTGGGGAACTCAAAATGAGGCTGCTGAGCAGGCTGAGTATCAGAGGGACATGAAACCCTGAAATAACGGACTATAGAGAAAAAAAAATTCTGCTTTTGGGTGGGAAGGAGTCCCACTGGGGGTCATGGAGGAGGCCTCAGCCGAGGAAGGAAAAAGACCCCACAGAACTGCCTGAGTCCCACTCACCTGCCTGTCTCTTTCCATTCCAATGCCTGGGGCCAGCCTAGCAGCTCATTCAGCTGAATGAAGAGCAGAGGGTCTTTGGGTACCTCCAGTTCCTTGTTGTCTGTGTCTAAGGGGCCATCAGGTCTGGGGTCTGAGCTAGGGCCACTCTCCAGCTCCCCTGCAGGAACATCTTCATGAGTGCTGGAGGCATCAAACGCCTCCTGGTCTGGCAGCTTCATCTTGGTGGATGTCACAGAGAATCTCCAGACCTAGGTTCTGAAGCCAAGGGCCCCCGGGCTGACTGCATTTATAATGCACACACCTCTTCCCACCTACCTCCTCACCCCCCACCTCAGCACAACACAAACAGAGCAAAGCCTGCTGGTTCTAGAGCCACCAGGTCACCTCTGCCCCTACTTATTTCCCCCACTCTCCTCTGGTCTGAGAGTGCTTGTAATGATCCCCTGTTTTTTTCCCAGGATTTCCAGAAATGCCCTCACCTGGGACCAAAGTGTGTATGAGGGCTGCAAATCTGGTTTGACCCTGCTGTGTTTTGTGTAAATAAACAAGAGTAAATGGCCGGCGTAGGTTTAAGGATTGACACCCCAGGGTATAGTGTCCCCCTAGCCTATGTCAAATACAAACACCAAACATTCAGAACTATTTTGAGTATCACCAATACACCCACAGGGCCCACAGACAACACCCCTTTGCACAAACAGGGACCTAATAAGTAACTGGTCTCTAGAAGCCAGACAGGGTAAAGGAGACAGCAGGTAGAGGAGGCAGTTCATGGAGAACGTGATGCCTGGTCTTTAATCCTAGAATCTCCCCAACTTAGCCGTGTCCCTATCTGCCTCTCTATCACAGCTCCCCAATGAACATGGAAGAGCCAATGAGGCTGTGTGTGTGACAGAGCTCCAAGGGCTAAATAAGCAGAGGAAGATGTGGCCCATTGGCAAGTCCTAATGACTCTGCCTTCAAAATATACCCCAAGTCCAATCAGCACTGCTACCCTGATCCAAGCCACTACCACCCGGATATTTTGGTAGCTTTGTATTCTCTTGCAATAATCACCGGTGGCAGTGGTTAAGGAGGCTGGCTGGATCCCACATGTCTGATCTGATAACATGATGAGTCCTGGACCCAGCAACTTGAAAAACACGGAAGGGAGGTGTGCATGCATGCTGAAAATTGCGAGAGGAGAAAGGATTGCGACTGTGGCCATCTCACTTGAGGGGGGTGCTTTCCCCCACAGAACTGCCTGAGTCCCACTCACCTGCCTGTCTCTTTCCATTCCAATGCCTGGGGCCAGCCTAGCAGCTCATTCAGCTGAATGAAGAGCAGAGGGTCTTTGGGTACCTCCAGTTCCTTGTTGTCTGTGTCTAAGGGGCCATCAGGTCTGGGGTCTGAGCTAGGGCCACTCTCCAGCTCCCCTGCAGGAACATCTTCATGAGTGCTGGAGGCATCAAACGCCTCCTGGTCTGGCAGCTTCATCTTGGTGGATGTCACAGAGAATCTCCAGACCTAGGTTCTGAAGCCAAGGGCCCCCGGGCTGACTGCATTTATAATGCACACACCTCTTCCCACCTACCTCCTCACCCCCCACCTCAGCACAACACAAACAGAGCAAAGCCTGCTGGTTCTAGAGCCACCAGGTCACCTCTGCCCCTACTTATTTCCCCCACTCTCCTCTGGTCTGAGAGTGCTTGTAATGATCCCCTGTTTTTTTCCCAGGATTTCCAGAAATGCCCTCACCTGGGACCAAAGTGTGTATGAGGGCTGCAAATCTGGTTTGACCCTGCTGTGTTTTGTGTAAATAAACAAGAGTAAATGGCCGGCGTAGGTTTAAGGATTGACACCCCAGGGTATAGTGTCCCCCTAGCCTATGTCAAATACAAACACCAAACATTCAGAACTATTTTGAGTATCACCAATACACCCACAGGGCCCACAGACAACACCCCTTTGCACAAACAGGGACCTAATAAGTAACTGGTCTCTAGAAGCCAGACAGGGTAAAGGAGACAGCAGGTAGAGGAGGCAGTTCATGGAGAACGTGATGCCTGGTCTTTAATCCTAGAATCTCCCCAACTTAGCCGTGTCCCTATCTGCCTCTCTATCACAGCTCCCCAATGAACATGGAAGAGCCAATGAGGCTGTGTGTGTGACAGAGCTCCAAGGGCTAAATAAGCAGAGGAAGATGTGGCCCATTGGCAAGTCCTAATGACTCTGCCTTCAAAATATACCCCAAGTCCAATCAGCACTGCTACCCTGATCCAAGCCACTACCACCCGGATATTTTGGTAGCTTTGTATTCTCTTGCAATAATCACCGGTGGCAGTGGTTAAGGAGGCTGGCTGGATCCCACATGTCTGATCTGATAACATGATGAGTCCTGGACCCAGCAACTTGAAAAACACGGAAGGGAGGTGTGCATGCATGCTGAAAATTGCGAGAGGAGAAAGGATTGCGACTGTGGCCATCTCACTTGAGGGGGGTGCTTTCTCTCTCTCTCTCTGTCTCTCTGTCCCTCTCATTGAGCACACACGTCCTGTAGCATTTTTTAAAAAGCCAACTGGGCCACATGACTTTTCTCCTCAAAATTAATCCAATATCTGCTCATTATTCCTAGAAGAAAAATCAAACTTGTAATGGCCCACAGGACCCATAGGCTGGCCCTAGCCCACCTCTTCAACCAACCTCACACCATTCCCCACTTGCCAGTTCCACCAGCCTTCCAACTCTTACACAAAGCCTGTTCCTGCCTGGGGGTGTCTGTAGTAGCTTTTCTCTCTGCCAAAGAAGCTTTTCCCTCAGGTTTTCATATGACTGGATCCCTGTCACCTAGGTCTATCTCAGATGTTACCTACTCAAGGAGACTTTCCTTTTCCATCTGACCCTAAGTTTCCCTCTTGGATCACTCTCCAACACATTTCTTGTTTTATTTTGTTCCTACCAGTTATCACTGCTAGTAACTGCTTCATTTGTTTGTTGCTTATCGTCTGTCTCTACACACACACTTAAACGTCCATGGAGCAGGCACTGTATCTGTCTTCCCCACTGCGTCTGGAGCCGCGCCTGGCACATAGTGGTTCTCAAATAAATGCTTGTTCCAAGAGCGCACTGAGAGGGCTGGGAAACGAGGTGCGCTTCTCTGTGGGCCACACGAGGGCGCTGGCTCCCCACCCACGGAATCGGTAGGGCCACTCCCTTCGGCCTTGCGGCTGTTTCCCCAGCGGACCCGCCAAGATTCCTAGGTGGCAGCAGACAGGCCAAGGTTTCTAGGCGGCGAGATGGCAGAGGGGTACTTGACCCTTTGCCTCAGACAGGCCCACCGTGGTTTGGTCCAAAGGGATGGGAGATGGGAGAGTGCAACAGAATCGGGAAGGGAGGGCCAGTCAGGCTCAGCTGAATGTGGGTCAACATGCCTCCCCCATTCCTGCAACTTGTCTATCCTTTGAGAAGTGGGATCCAGGCCTGCGCTCCCCACAAGCTCCTCTGATCCAAGGAGATCACCGGACAGAAATTCGAAGAGCAAAGAGCAAGTCATTATATAACCAGTGGGAGAGGAGTGCTGAGCCCGGAGCAGGAGACAGTTTCTGTCTAGGAGAAGTAGAAATGCTCCAGGCTTGAAGACCAGCAATTCCTGTGACCACTTCTTTCAAGAATGTGCTCTAACCCTAGGGGCAAGTGACTCAAGGGAGCCTGGGGGGGTGGGAGCATATCCTCCCCCCCACACACACACACACACACCATCCCAACTCCTGCCAAAGTTCAGAGGGTCTGTCCTTGTGTGGTCCCATCCTCCCCCCCCCACACACACACACACACCATCCCAACTCCTGCCAAAGTTCAGAGGGTCTGTCCTTGCTCTCTGTGGTCCCAAAGACCCTGGCTCCCAGGGCTGCCTGCAGTAACAGCTTCCATGCTTCCAGCCAGCCCCAGACTCCACTTTCTTCTCTGGGCCTGGGCACCTGAAACTGGGCAGGCTGGTGAGAGACGAGTAGGCCAGACCCCAGGTCTGCCTGCCAGTGATCTCTCAGACAAGGCCCAGTGAAGGTATCGCGTCTGCGTGAACTGCCCTGGGAATGGGCCCACACCCACTGGGAAAAATCATGGCCCAGGAGATCAAAGACTGAACTCTCATCCTGACTTGGTTGCAAGGGTGTCCTTGGGGTCCTTGAGAAAACTCCTTCGCTTCTCAAGTCTCTGTTTTCTTACATGTAAGCAGAGAGAGCTGGGGTTGATGATTTCTAAGGTCCAAAACATACCTTTATGTGGTGCATTGAGCTGGACACTGAATGAGAGGGCCTGGCCTCAAGAACAGGCAGCCTTGGGAACCAGCAGTTAGCGTAATGGCTATGTCGCTGGACTCCCACGTAGTTAACTGTGGTTCGCGTCCCGGACCCGGTGGCTTAAAACTCACGCCGGGCGCGTGTGCGTGCGTGCCCAAGATCCTGAGAGGAGAATGGAGGAGAAGGGATTGCGGCATGACCATCCCCTCTTGGGGGTGATTTCTTGCTTTCTGTCTCTATGTCTCTGTCTGGCGAGCACACGCGCCCTATAGCGAAAACCTCTCCAAAAAAAAAAAAAAAATGAACAGGCAGCGTTGGTGTAAATCCTGGTTTGGTCATTTTCTAGAAGTTGGAGAGGGATTTATCTTTACCGAACCTGACCTTTCTTACGTGCAAAAGAGAAATAATAGGGCCAGCAGATGACATAGCAGTTATGTTGCTGGACTCTCACATGGCCTACCATGGTTCGAGTCTCATACCCTGTGGCTTGAAAATCACTCAGAGAATGATTACAAAAATAAAATTCAAAATTGCAAAAATAAAATGCAATTTTTCATAAAGCCCTTACCACAAAATAACATGTTAATAATTTTATTCATGCCAAAAATTCAAAGTAGGTCCAGCCACAGTGACATAGGTAGTTAAGAGTGCTGCTGTCCTATGCTGGAGGCCCTGTGGGAAGGCCCTGGGTCCACATTCCAGGTCTACCTGAACATGTATGGGTGCACTCATGGTCCTCGCTGGCTGCAGGGCTGGGGGAGGGTTGTAGCATGACGACCCCATTGAGTTGCTCTCTCTCTTTCTTTCCCCCTCAATAATAATCTTTAAAAGTTTTGAAATAGGAGCCAGCAGGTGGCATGGTGGTTAAAGGCGCTGGACTCCCACATGGCTGACCATGGTTCAAGTCCTGGACCTGGTGGCTTGCTTTTGCTTTCTCACTTTCCCTCTCTCTCTCTCTCTCTGATC